AGCTGGAGGGAGAGCGCCTGTGAGCTCAGGTCAGGCAGGACTGTCACCGTGACTAGGTTGTCCCCTTTGGCACCCATTTTGGTGGAGGTTATTACTGTGCTGGGTGTGTTTACTATCGCTTTCTAACAGCGTGTTGCCTAGATGTGCAGGCCACAGTGTTTGCCTGCTGTAGCTCCTGTGTGGCTTTGCAGTTTAGACGGTCCCAAAGGGATGCAAATGATGGGAAGGAGCGAGAGTGTTTGCAGGGGGCTGAAGGTGGGCTGATCCCTCAAGAATTTCTGTGTTGTCCTTTTAGCATGTGGAAACAATTGCTTGTGGTAACTTCCTCAAAACAACAGAAAGAGCTCACGCAAGTATGAAACTCACTCTTTGAGAGCTGGGAGCAGCTGGTCATGCATCTTGTTTCCTGAAAAGACAAACAGGGCTGGCCAGGGCTGTTTAGACCAGGCTTTCGGAAAGGACTATCTGCACTTCAGTAGTAAGGGAGAGGTGGCATGGCTTTGTCACACAGGTGTGGGCTTTACCCTTGTGCTGTGTGGGACTGTGCCTGAGGGAAGCAAGGGCTGCTCTCAGACGTGCCCTTTGACTTCCAGGTGGGATTGGGCTGCAGCAAGGCCCCTCTCCCTGGGAAGGCCTGGCTGCCATGAATACTTGCCAGTCCTGCAATTCAGGACTCTGCTGGTCTGGTCCTACCAGGTGTAGGAACTATCTGGTGACCTTGGGATCTGACATGGAAGGAACAGGGTAAGTGATCTGCTTAAGCCCTAAAATTTCTTTACACGTTTGTGCAACTCTGAGCAGACAAATTTAGATTTAAGCCTGTAAAATGGGTGAATATCAGGTTTTGCAGGACAGGTGTTAGCTGCACAGCTGATTCTGTTTTTGGTGCCTAAGAGTGTGTCTTGAGCCTCCAAATCTGAAAAAAAGTTGACCTTAAAGGAATGGAGATGGGATGGTTACAGGTAGTATAGTGGCAATGCAAAGTGTGTTGCAGAAGCATGTTGCTTATGGATCGATCAGATAACACTTGCAAATCGCATAGAGAACCTTGACTGAAAGTGCCAAATACTATTAATAGAAGCCTCAAGATGAAGTAACAAATGTGGATAGCCGGCCTTCTCTCTGCGCCTCTAATTTAGGCGCATAAAATGACAGGTTTAATCTTGCAGTTGTTTCCAGGCTTGGATGAGGGTGATGAGGTAGCCCATTGATTGCCTGTGAAGGTCTGAGCAAGCAGTGACATGGCTGACGACAGTGGGAAGCAAACTGGACCAACATGGGAGCTATTGGTAAGGAACACAGTGTCTCAGATCTGCAGGGGGACTCTCCAGGTCCTGTGGTTAGCTCAGATCAGACTTGGAGAGGTGTGTCAAGGAATTTATTTCTGATTGGGATGTGCTGAAGTACCACCTGGGAGACTTGTATGAATGGCAGTGGTTATGGCTGTGTAGGACTGGGAGACTGCACTTGCCGCATGAGGAAGACAGTTCCTACCTTGTTGTAAATTGTAACTTCAGAGGTGGGATAATGGCAGATCTGTGTAGGCAAATTAGCCCTTTGCAGATAAATCTTAATTCCAGATTAGGAAGTTACAGTTGGTGTACTCCTGCCCTAATTAACTATATTAATAATTTCTTTGTTTTAGCTGGCAAGTTGAGAGGAATCCGGTTTATACTGCGTTGCTGCCTATTGTTTTGTCTCTCTGAAATGTTTTTTTTTCTTCTGTCAAGTTTTGTGACAGTGACCGACTATCTCTTGCTCTTATGTCACCTAGTCTGGAGGTTGGTCATGGGGATAAAGCTGTGATGTATTACGGGCAGGGTGGTGGGAGTGGAACTCACAAGTGTTGTAAGACCAAATTTTAAATTTGCCTGTACTCCTTTTCAAAGCAAGTTGTTCTTAACACTCAAGGATTATCATGCAGAGGTGTTGTAAGAACATCCAGTGGATAGGCTCATGGGGTTGCCTTTCAGATTCTTTACATTAGGAAGGTTTTAAAGCTAAGACTAGGAGCAAAAGAGGGGGAGTCTTTTCCAGAAAGTTAGTTAGGAGTCTCTGGGCACAGGTATCCATTTCTGTGGCACTAGGTGTATCAATACAACTGGTATGGCCTCGACAGTTGTTTTTTTCTAATGGAACGAGTGGTCTGTTGGAGGCCAGAAGATGCTCACTGGCAGTAGCATAATTGGACCTGAAGACTGAGCTACTCCTTTTGTGCCAAACTGTCTGCTGACCATAGGAGAAAGGTAGACTTTCCACCTCCTAGCATTGCCGCAGAGAGTCTATTGGCAGAGCAGCATGGGGACTCCACAGACCCTAGAGTGAGAGAGAAAGCTGGAGCAAGCGTGAAATTTTGCTGTGATGAAATCGTCAGTGCTCTTGTTCAGTTTCTCTCCTTCTTAAGGACTAGGAGGGGGCAGATTTTTCCATACTACCAAGTACAGGGTGGATTTTGGAGGTACAGCTGGATTGATGTAGTTGCCAGTGAAAGAGGACAGTTTTTCTTTTACCTGGCTTTGAGCTGGAGCTCCCTGTGGCTTCCTCAGGCTGGCAAATGAAAAAAATAAACAAAACCTACAACATGGTTTTCTGCTGGTTTGGCCTGCTGGGCTGGCAGTTGCCATGTCAGTGCTGGCGCAAGGGAAATGGCGGGGGGGTGTCATTGGGATGAGTGGGTTGAGGGAGGAAGGAACTGTCCCCTTCAGAGCAGGCAGCTTTAAGATCAGCTCAGCTGTGGTGTAAGACTGTACACTGGGAAGCTCAGTATACATCCTTGCACAGCAAAAACATACCTGTTGGTGAAAGTAGGTTGCTGAATTGCTGCTGAATAGCTGCATAGCCAAGGTCAAGTAGTGCCTTTTTAGGATGGTTGCAATTATAGCCAGCCTGAGCTAAAGCCTGTGCTGAGCAGCGTAAGCACAGCGTTGCTAAATTGATGTTTGCTGACAGCATCAAGTAATTGGTGCCTTATCTAGATTGGAGGACTTGAATGGCACATGTCTCTTCCACTTCCTCCTTCACTGTCAAGAATGTGGTTTCTATAGGAATTTAAACCTCTCTTAGTTTGAAGGGTTGGGAACTGCTGATATGAGCTGAAATCTCAGCAGTAGGAGCACTGGGTTCTTCTTTCTGTGCATTTGTGAGGCTGCTTTAAAAATAAATGTGTTTTGAAGTATTGTTAACAAGCCTGGAAGAGTAGATATCCTCCTAGCCTCCCTCACTCCTCCCCTCCACCCCCAACATTTTTGTTCCAACGTTAAGCTGGAACAAAACTATTTCCTTTCTTTACCAATGGATTTGCAAATGCATTTTTAATTGTATGTTCTTATACTAAATAAAAATCCAGTGGAGCGCTGTAAAAGCCATGTTTCCAGAGATACTCATTTTGCAAGAGAAGGGGACAATTTGGTGTTCTGTCATACTGTCTCAAAGTATCTGGGGTATATTATTACTAAAAGGGAAAAAAATACCAAGTTGTTCCAGAGACTGGGATATGAAATCTTCCACTTTCCATGTCACTGGTTTGAAGGCAGGTCAAATTTGAACTAGCTAAAGCATGGAGGCTCTCTTTAAGTGGTGCAACCTCATCCCTGCTTTACCTGTTGAAGCAAGGTGGTTCTCTGGGGGGGGTTACTTCTGTCACTGTCTTTAGTAACCTGAGCCATGAGCTCAGTGAGACCTCGTTTCTTCACCCTACAGCCGAACTCCTCAGGTCTGGTAAGCTGTGTGGTCAGGGTGGCGTGGGGAACCTGCCCTGCCCCTGCCTTCTGTGCACCATGTTGGTATAAATACAAGATGTTCGTCTTCAGGGCAGCTATTAAAGATAGTAGTAATTATTACAATAGTAACTTCTTATGCCGCGTCCATGCCCTTAAGGCCTTAGCCAAATATAACTTAGATGATGATAATTAAAAACAGAAGACTGTGACCCAGTCAAATCCATGAGTTTGGCAGGGACAGCAATGCTGAGGAGGAATGTATGCATCAAATATATAATAAATAAAATCAAGCTGTGCAGATGTAAAGGAAAGAGGGTAATTTTGTGTCGGTCAAAACAACCTCAGGGCTGAGAACTGGTTTGTGCTCAGAGCTTGAGTCCTTTCATGCTACAGACCAGATTTTGTGCAGTGTAATCTCACTGCAACCTTTTGCTTTGGGGTAATTGCTAAATTCTGATGCTTTCTCTGTCAGGGAGTGCACCCCCAAAAATTGTGTCGTATCTGTCTGCCCCCCTCCTTTCCCCTTTTGTTTTTGCTTTTCCCAGCTTCTTGCCACAGGGACTTGGCTGTGAATCTTTTTGTCTTCCAAGTAGCTCTTCTCAGTTGCATTTCTTTTCTTTTTCCTAAAAATAGTTGAGAACTTTGCTCAGGGGGGAAAGCAAGCATTTTGGATTACTATCTCTTGCATGGGTCATTGGTATTTGGGCTTCTGAACCCAGTCATGTAAGCTGTTCTGTCTCTTGAGATTCCTGGGGAGGGATGCCCTGGTCTGGATGTGATTTCCAATTCAAGCACTATGGGAAAAAATGACTATTCAGTTCCTAGGAATATGGGGCTGGGACCAGGCGGAACCACCTGCCACTACATGGAGGAGATAAAGAGAAAGCGTCAACCTGGAAACAATTTTTGGGATGAACTCTGGAGAAAGTGGTTTACTGCTCTTGCTGGGAGGATGGGAATCAGTGGGCAGTGAATGTGCATCTCAGCTTCTCACCAGTACTATCTCCTGCTTGCAGTCCTCTGTCTTTGCAATGCTCTGGCACAGACAAAGGAATCAGTGGATTGATAACTCCTTCTCTGTACCTCAGCAGTACTTTACTGTGCCTATGTTGAAAACTGAGTAGGGTTGTTTCTGTACTTGGGTGCTTGTCAGTGAATTTTTAGGAGCTGTGATTCTTGTCAGTGCCAGTATGAACCAGACCATCAGCATCTGTGTATGGGTCCATCTGAACTGCACTCATATTTCATAATACTTCTTGTTTTCTTTTTCATATGCACTAGGTGACTTTGGAGAAGGTGTTGGGGATAACGGTGTCGGGAGGCAGAGGATTAGCCTGCGACCCCAGAACTGGCCTCGTTGCTTATCCAGCAGGGTGAGTCACTAACCACATTTTTCAAAGCTAAGATAAACCAGGACTGATATATCAACTTAAAGATTCAGGGTGTTTCCACTATGGTCTTCTATAGGGAGGCTATTTACCATTCTTTAGTCTTTTATCACTGGAGAATGATGAGGCTCAGCTCTGTCAGTGTAATTGGCAATGGAGAGGGATTGCATTTTACCTGTCAAGTTTTAATGGGATCCCTTTTAATGGAACCCCTCTCCCTCTTCTTTCTCTAAGTTGGGTGTTAAATTGTGGGCTCTTTAACTATGCTCTGTAGTGTGGTGAACTTGCACATAACTCCATGCGATGCTCAAGCCAGTGAGTACCTAATGGAGCAGGTGATGCTTTCAATGAATTGACAAAAGCCTTCTTATATATGCCCTGCAATTTATGACTTACCGTGTTCCTCATCCAAATGCGGAGAAAGATTTCAGGCTGACAGCCCCTTGCATGTGGGTTCTCTGGAGTGCAACACATCTATCAACCATGGTCTAAGTCCAAATAGAAATCCAGGAGACTTTGATGGACAGCAAAAGAGCTACCTAGAGGGAGATCACTAAGGGCTGGAGAGGTGGCTTTGTGAGTTGCATGTTTAGCAAAATCATAGACATCTGGGGCCAGATGCTGACCTTGCTGAAAGTAGAGCTCACCCAAAGGGCACATGTCCACAGAGAAGCAGAATATGTTACTGTTGCTGATCTGTGGGGTGGGACTTGTCTGAAAGAACAAAGCCCCTGCAAATTTTTAAAAGGACTCTGAAAGAGGTAGGTAGACGTCTCATTTCCTGTGTTTTAATTTCTGCCCATTCCCTCTTTTTATGTCAGTGGGCAGTCTGTTAAACTGCAGACAATTTGAGATCCACATGTGCACTTGACAGCATCCTTTATGCTTGAACTCTTTGGAGCCAGGCAAATATATTCCAGTGTGTGTTACCTCTTCCTCTGCATCTTTTCTGACACTGAGTATGTTCACGCTTGAAGAGGGCAAGGAGAGAGAAGAAAACAAGCGCAGTAAACAGATGGTTTGGGCTCTTGCGTAGCTAAAGATAGATTAGTTTTGTTAATAGCGATGTCCTCTGATGAGCTTGTGCATACCTAACATTGATTTAATCAAGCATGGGGACACCTGGGGATTCTTTTGGGTAATTAAAAGGTTATGCGGTTCCTTAGGGCTTTACAGGGGATTCCTGTTCTTGTTGGTGGTAGCATCTCATGGCCTGGGCAGGAAACCTATGGAATATACCAGATGTGTGTTGTAACAGTTTAATGGCGTATATGGCTTGCTGCTTTTGTGCCGTGGCTGGCCTGTTTTGTGAAGCTGTTGTGATTTGCTGCAGTCAAGACAATCTCTAACAAAACTGGCATTAGTTAAGGAGTCAAAACATGAGAGGGGTAGTGGTGCAGACCTTACTAAGTTGATGCGAGTTCAGTTTGTTGTTGTTGTTTTTTTTCCCCATTCTAATTTCCAGTGAGTTTCTCTTGATTTGCAAGAATCCTGGCATTTATGATAGATTGGCTTAATTTTGTTTATTTTTGTTTCTATTTGTTTGAATTTACTGGACACGGAAGCTTCTTACATGAAGCTGATGTAGCAGACTGGCCATGGCTCATGCACAGTTGGTTCATGACCTGTCCATGCAATTTGGTCATCTTCAGCTTGCTCCAGGTACTCCAGTGATTTCCTCAGCCCTCTGCTCATCTACTGAAGTTTTGCAATCCTGACATGCAGATGCTTTGCTCCTCCAGTCTGTCCTACCCCTAAAAGCTGCATTTATGTAACAACTCTGTATTTTCCTAAGAACACTTTCAACATACCTAGATTCATTTGGTTGAGATCAAAACAGTTGCCCCAGGCACCCTGACTTCATCCACACCAGGCATATGAATGCATATGTGAATGACGACTTGTGCATGAGAAGCTTTGGCGTTCTTTGAGCAGAATCTTAACTCTGGTTTCTGGTTTGCCTAAAGTAATTGCTTTTCTGGATTTTCTCTTTCCTGGAGTTTCTGAATCTCCTGAAAGAAGCAGTTCCCAATGCAACCCAAGCTTGTTCCAACTCCACAGCAGTGCCAAAGACCTGAGTGTTACATTATTACTTTCTTTCCTTCTCACTGGCTTTTGAACCTTTTATCCTTTCTCTTCTTTGACCCTAATGAGGCTTTCGCTCCAGCAGTGTGTGACAGCAGCTTTGCTGACCCTGGTATTGTTTTGGTGGGATGCTTCTGTTATAGGAGGCTTTTTCTTCATGTCTGCCATAAAGGCTAAAGGCACCGAGTGCTGTAGATATTCTAGGCCACCACTTTCATATAAGGCTGTTGTCTTGGGAGATAAGACAGCATAGGAGAGAAAATTACATCCTCTCTGAAGGTTGTACAACTGCTGCCTGCACTTGCCTATTCTTATGCTGGCAAGTGAAGTAAACCCAAAGTTGCTTAATTTGATCTCTGTTAGGGTTATGCAGTGAGTAACAAAGTCGGTCTTGTGGGAGGAGTGAGTGGGACAGAAATGTACTGAATTTTTTACTTCTCATGGCAGGACCGATGCTCTGTCCTCTTTTCCTTTCAGTTTTTTTTCCCTTTTGCTTTTTTCCTGCCCTTCTCTCATTTTGGTTTATTCTCTTTTTTTTGCAGTAGCTAGTTGAGGTTCTGTTTCCTAGAAACAAGAAGGGAAACAAAGCTAAGAAAATCCTCTGAGGATGGCTAGCATTAAAAAAGGAAAAAAAAAGGGGGGGGGGGAATGTCTATCCATTTAAATTCTAGACCAGCTGCTCAGATAGCTTGAGTCAGCTTCTCTGTTTTGGGGTTGTGTTTGCGGTTGTTTTTTAAGCCTTGTAAGTTGGTGTGACTGACTGATTTATTTTGCTTCTCTTTATTCTTCTTTCTTTGTCTCTCAGTTGGTCATGATAGCTGGTTGGGAACCTTGTCTTCATGTGAGGCACTTGCCTGCTTGAGGGAGCAGCCTGTGCTTTTTCTTCTGCAGGAGCAGGAAAGTAGTGCTTTGTGCTGTTCAGTGTGTAATGTCTTTGAAACTCTATTCTGTTATGTTCTGGCAAGCTTAAGCCCCTCTCTAGCTCTGCTCGTCAATTCCCAGCGACTCTGACAGAAGTCAGGGATTTTTCACATTAGTGTTCCTTGCTGGGGAAATTGGTATTTGATACATAACACGTGTAATGAGTTGATTGGTCTCAGCTTGCATATTCTTCCCTCCCCTTCAGCTCTCTAGCATAGCTCACCACATACAGCAACTCCTGCTAAAGGCAGGCATGGGCTTAATACAGTGAATCCTCTCTGAGATATAGTGAAATGAGTTTCTTTGGGTTTCTCACAAAAATTACTGTAGCCAGTACAGACACAGCCCCCGGCTAGCTCTGTGTGAGCAGAGTACATTTGATGAACAAATGATTTGGATGCCTCCATATTCTGTACCATTTCAGAATGAACCACCCTTTTTTGTACATAGAAAGAGAGGGACAATAAAAGAAGGAGCTATATGATCAAAGTTAAGATGAAGATATTAAGTCTTTTCTCTTGCTGCTTTTTGCCACAAGATCTTGTTGAAGAGCTAGACTTGTTCTTGCTTCAGTTTTATCACCTTGAGTTTTTTTGAGATAGGACAACTAATATTCAGAAGTGAGTAGTGGCATGATGTGTTCAAAACCAGAAAACTGCACAGCTGTTTGGGTCAAATTTTATTTTACTGCTACTGTGCTGTGCATGTTGGATGTCAGTGCGGCAGCCTCTCATGTGCCAACCTGTGCTGCAGCAGAATCAAGCCACAGTCTCCTCTTCTCATTTCACTGTTCCACCCCTTGTCCTTGGCTGGTTTGCAGTACTGAGTGGAAGCCTCTTAACTCTGTCAGCCCTTCTGAGTCATATCCCTTCTGGCTCCTTGTCCACGGATCCAGGGAGGTAAGTGTCAGGTCCTGTAAAGGCAGGGCAGTGACCATGGTCTGTGTCACAGCAAAGGGAGGAAGGGGAGGAGCACAGTGGGAAATGAGTGAATTGGTTTTAATCCAGCCAGGAGTCTGCTTAGCACGTGTGGAGCTGTCTCGCACAATTGAGTGGTAAATCCCACTGGAAGCTGAAAGAGTGAGGATTTTTCTTTTCCAGAAGTGGTTGTTGGTTTGCTCCCAAATACCTCTTTCCAGTTCTGGCGGATAGGCTGTAAAGCTAAGTGGTTTCCAGCCCATCCACATGTGGAGTCTCTTGGAAAGTTTTAATCATCATTTTCCATCATTATATAGATAGATTAGCTGCACAACATAATAAATTATCAGCTTAAAACAATTTCCCTTTACCTTAAGCTGCGTATAACCCACAACGGAAGAATAACATTTAGGATAAACATTGTGTAACCTTACCAGGCATGATGTTGCCTTGCTCTTTCTTTCCTCTTTGAAGTGGAAGGTTTTGGGCAGTGGGGTACAGGAATGAATTGTGAGAGGCAGGTCTAGTAGATGACTGCCGGTGAATGAGGCAAAACGCTGTTCTGAACTGGAATCTTTTAAAGACTTATGACCATTGTGGCCAGATTAGAATTGGTGGCTCCATGGACAATGAAATCCTAATTTGTAAGATGACAAGTATTCCTGCCTTATTTCAGAGCATATTTTTCTTAACTAATTGATCACTTTGCTTGGACGCCACAATGGTAGTTGCCTTTGGAAAGCTGTAGGTACACAGAAGGAATCCACTTCTTTATAGACCAAGTGTACCTTCTGGTACACGTGCAGTTTGTGCAAAGCTCTACTGCTCTGTGCAGGTACAGTTCTTCACTAATTTTTCCCATTGGGCTGTATCCCAAATGCAGCTTGAATAGGTACAGGGACATTGAAATACTTGAACTGCTGGGTTGCCAGTAGATAAATCCAGTTCTGCTGGTGCTGGCTCCTTCAACTTTACTTTACCCAAACCTCTGAAGGAGAATTTCTGGGCCTTCTTTGTATGTCCTTTTCTAAAGGAGAATCCTGCGGTGTTGTAAAGACTGTA